AACCAAGGGAAAGTAGTATTTAAGAAGGAGGGCAGGCGGGCGTGTGTAGCTCACACCTGTAATCCCAGCACTTTTGGAAGGCTGAGGTGGGCAGATCACCTGAGGTCAGGAGTTCGAGACCAGCCTGGCCAACATAACAAAACCCCTCTCTACTAAAAAATACAAAAATGAGCGGGTGTGGTGGGCAGACATCTGTAATCCAGCTGCTCAGGAGGCTGAGGCAAGAGAATCACTTGAACCTGGGAGGGGAGGTTGCAGTGGTGAGATTGCAGTGAGCTGAGATTGGCCACTGCACTCCAGCCTTGGCGACGAGCGAAAGTCCATCTCAAAAAAAAAAAGGAGGCCTTGCTTAGCAGGGGAATAAAATTTTTTTTTTTTTTTTTTGAGACGGAGTTTCGCTCTTGTCGCCAGGCTGGCATGCAGTGGCACGATCTTGGCTCACTGCAACCTCCGCCTCCCAGGTTCAAGCGATTCTCCTGCCTCAGCCTCCCAAGTAGCTGGGATTATAGGAATATCATCACCATGCCTAGCTAATTTTGTATTTTAGTAGAGACGGGGTTTCTCATGGTTGGTAAGACTTCTATAACTCAACTCTCCCCTGGTTTTCTTCCTGTATATCTCCTCTACGTGGCCATTAAATTTGGAGCTCCTTGGGCCTAGCCCACTTACTGGCTTATTTCATACTCTCCCCTAGTCAACCTCATCCATATTCATCAATAATGCATACAACTCCGATTAACAGTTATAGTCCCTACCTCTCCTCTGAGCTCTCATATATCATCTACCTATCAACTTGACATTTCTTAAATGAGTCAAAGGCATATTCAAATCAGAACTCAAAATTATTCCAAGGTCTGACAAATCAAGTCCTCTTCTAGGGTTTTCTGTATCAGGAATTGGCTCCCCTATCCAGCTGGAGGGGCCAGAAAACTGGAGATTTCAATGATACCTCCATCTCCCTCACCTCCCTAGCCAATCTATCAAGTGTCTCATTCATGACTCTATCTACTTCTCTTCACCTCTACCACAACCTAGTCCAGTGTTTCCGAACAAGGGTGCTACTAGCATTTTGGGCAGGATAATTCTTTGTAAAGTGGGACTACCTAGGTGCACATATTAGAACATTTAGCATTCCTGCTCCTCTGCCCAGTCATTATGACAATCAAAAATGCCTCCACACATTTTCTTTTTTTTTTTTGAGACAGGGTCTCACTCTTGTCATCTAGGCTAGAGTGCAGAGGCGCAATCTCAGCTCACTGCAACCTCCATCTCCCAGGTTCAAGCGATTCTCCAGCCTCAGTCTCCCAAATAGCTGGGATTACAGGAGTGAGCTACCACATCTGGCAAATTTTTGCATTTTTTTGTAGAGACTGGGTTTCACCAGGCTGGTCTAGAACTCCTGAGCTCAAAGTGATCCGCCCGCCTCAGCCTCCCAAAGTGCTGGGATTAAAGGCGTGAGCCGCTGCACCGGGCCACCTCTACACATTTTCAAATGGTCTAGTGGAAGGAGCAATTCCATCCCCAGTTGAGAACCACTGCAATAACTTCCAAAACTTGTCCCTATAGTCATTCTATCCCCCATGTGTTTCCCCACTGCATAGAAGTCCTTTCAAAGTATATAATAATGACATGGTCCTTTAATGACTCTGTAGCAGAAATGACTCTGTAGCAAAAAGGCTTCACTCTCCCCAAATACCCATTTTTCCTGTCTTCCTCCATAAAAGAAAACCTGAATATCAGCTGGGCACATAGACACTTAGGTAAAGACCACATTTCTTATTTCCCCTGCAGCTAGGTGTGGCCACTGACTGTTAAGATATAAAAGGAAGAAGTGTGTGCAGTTTCCGTGTGCCCTAACTGCTGACTGGCACACTGATGTGACTGCTTAGAGCAGGAAAACCATCTTATGCCACAAAGTGGAACATGCATGAAAAGCATGGGAGAGCAACAAGACTGAGGGAGCTTGGGGCCCTGGTAATGAAGAACCCACCACACCAATCCCGAATGTCCCACCTTTATGAGAAAAATAAATAAACTTTTATTGTATTTAAACCTCTGTTGTTCGGGTTCTCAGTTACTCTTATTCTAATCTAATCCTAACACTGCTTCCTAGTGTTCTTAAGATAAAGGCAAAAATAAACTTTTATTTATGCCATTGCTGATGAGTTTTCAGTGACTCTCAATGAAACCTAATCCTACCCAATACAACTCCCTACTGCTCTTAGGATAAACAAAGATCTTCAATATGGCCCAAGAACCAGCCTATTCTTTTTTTTCAATGCCTTCACTTTAACAGTAGAACTTGCCTACTGTTCCAGTCCCTAATTCCCAGCTTCATGGTATACCACACCCCCATCCCATTCTCTGCTCCAGCTACCCTGGCCATCTTTCAGCCTCTGTACCTACCAGAATCCTTCCCATCAGAGAGCTTTAATACATACTTTTCCCTCTTTTCTTCATCTGGCTAACTCCTACCTAATCTTCAGATATCAGATCTCACCTCAAGTATCATCTCCTCTGGAAGCCTTCTCTGACTTCTCCAGCTAGATTAAACCCCACATTTTAAGTTCTCATAGCCTTAGGTACCTCTCCTTCACAACGTACATTTTAAGTTGCAGTCTTACATTTGTGTAGTTACAGATGTGAACATATATGCACGCGCACACACACTATGTGTGTATATATATATGTAAAAATGTACATACTTCTCAAAGAATGACTTTGCTTCATTCTCATGTTGATTGTAGACTAGCTCCAAGTACATGTGCACAAACAGAGGATAAAAGAGTTGGGATAACTCTGCCCGATGGCAGTCCAGGGAACATTCAATGAAGTGTTTCAGTCCACTATAGTATTCTTCATACATTGTGGGATCTCCTTGTTGGCTGTAGGCCGACAACACAGCACTGACATCTGGCTGGTCTTCCACAGCAACACTTCCAACTGTTTAAAAAACAAAAAACAACTTTTAAGAAAATGACCTATTATGACCATGTGACTATGGCTGTTTTGTTAAGGCCCAGAGGTGAGTTGTTGCTCAGATTGTTGTCTCTTTCTTCCCAACGTCTCTTCCTCAACACAATCACATAATCTTTTTTTTTTTTTTTTTTTTTGAGAGGGAGTCTCGCTCTGTCACCAGGATGGAGTGCAGTATGGAGATCTCAGCTCACTGCAACCTCCGCCTCGCAGGTGAGTCTCTTGCCTCAGCCTCCCAAGTAGCTGGAACTACAGGCATGCGCCATGCCCAGCTAATTTTTGCATTTTTAGTAGAGACAGGGTTTCACCATATTTGCCAGGATGGTCTCGATCTCTTGACCTTGTGATCCTCCCACCTCGGCCTCCCAAAGTGCTGGAATTACAGGCATGAGGCACCGCACCTGGCCCACACAGTCTTTTTTTTTTTTCTTTCTTTTTGAGATGGAGTTTCAACTCTTGTCGTCCAGGCTGTAGTGCAATGGCACGATCTTGGCTCACTGCAACCTCCGCATCTCGGGTTCAAGCAATTCTCCTGCCTCAGCCTCCTGAGTAATCCTACCCAATACAACTCCCTACTGCTCTTAGGGTAAACAAAGATCTTCAACATGGCCCAAGAACCAGCCTATTCTTTTTTTTCAATGCCTTCACTTTAACAATAGAACCTGCCTACTGTTCCAGTCCCTAACTAATTCCCAGGGCATGGTGGTACATGCCTGGGATTACGGGTATGCACCACTATGCCCCCTAATTTTTGTATTTTTAGTAGAGGGGGGGTTTCACCATGTTGGCCAGGCTGGTCTTGAACTCCTGACCAGAGGTGATCCACTCACCTCCCAAAGTGCTGGGATTACAAGTATGAGCCGCCGGGCACAGTGGCTCATGCCTGTAATCCCAGCATTTTGGGAGGCCAAGGCAGGCAGATCACGAGGTCAGGAGGTCGAGGCCATCCTGGCTAACACGGTGAAACCCCGTCTCTACTAAAAATACAAAAAATTAGCCGGGCATGGTAGTGGGTGCCTGTAGTCCCAGCTACTCGGAGGCTGAGGCAGGCGAGTGGCGTGAACCCGGGAGGCGGAGGTTGCAGTGAGCCAAGATCGCGCCACTGCACGCCAGCCTGGGCAACAGAGCGAGACTCCATCTCAAAAAAAAAAAAAAAAACAAGTATGAGCCACCGCGCCCAGCCATAATCTTTTAATGGAATTTTTTTCACTTGTTTCAGTCACCCAAACCGAAACCTGTCAGCACATCCATATCTTAAGATAACAATAACAGGCCATCACGGTGGCCCAGCATTTTGTGAGACTGAGGCAGGCGGATCACAAGCTCAGAAGTTCAAGACCAGCCTGGTCAACATGGTGAAACCCTATCTCTACTAAAAATACAAAAATTAGCTGGGTGTGATGGCGCGTGCCTGTAATCCCAGCTACTCGGGAGGCTAAGGCACGAGAATCACTTGAACACAGGAGGCAGAGGTTGCAGTGAGCCAAGATCGTGCCACTGCACTCCAGCCTGGTGACAGAGCAAGACTCCGTCTCAAAAACAAAAAAAACAATAACAAGAAGAGTCAATATTCCTCCTGGAACTACCTTATGTTAAAGACAAATTGTATAAAAGATGGTATGTGCAAATCAAACAACTACATTAACTTTCTCTCAACGCTCTGTTCAAATGGCACCCATTACCACCAAGCCATGCACTGCAGTAACATTCCCAGTTCTCTGAGCCACCCAAGCACTGTGTAACATTCCTGTAACATATCCTATCCTGTGTTCCCTTCACATTATATACATCTCTTACCCCTTATAAAATGTAACCACTTAAGGGTGGGAAGGACCATGCCCTATTTATATCTTCAAAAGATAGTTATATGCTTAAAACAATTTCCATAACCAGCATTTCAAAACAGAAAACGTAACTATTTATTTGTAACACAGCACCACCTAACAATACATCTGTCAATTAAATCAGAATTTGGTTGTTGGAAATATTTGTAAGTTGCCATTATAGTACACTTCGCTCTTTACTGCACAAATGTGATAATTTCTTCGGTTACTCTGATGGCCTCTTTTCCTCCTTACTGATTTCTCAGTTATGATCTATAATTAGGTCAAGTTTCTGAAGAGATAGGAGATTACAGCAAAATAATCAACAATATAATTCATCTTATAGTTCATTCACAAAATTCAACATTAAAAAAAGATTCCTCTCAAACCCTTTTTTTTTTTTTTTTGTAAAGACGGAATTTTGCTCTGTTGCCCAGGCCGGAGCACAAGGGCGCTATCTTGGCTCACTGCAACTTCTGCGATTCTCCTGCCTCAGCCTCCCAAGTAGCTGGGATTACAGGCATGCGCCATCACATCTGGCTAATTTTTGTATTTTTAGTAGAACGGGGGTTTCACCATGTTGGCCAGGCTGGTCTCAAACTCCTGACCTCAGGTGATCCACCCGCTTCATCCTCCCAAAGTGCTGAGATTACAGGCATGAGCCACCACGCCCGGCCAATAGGAAGGTAAAAAAAATTAAAAGGTAAGAAAAGAATGACAATCAGCATCACACATGTAAATGCAGCAAAGACGAAAAGGTCTGTCCAATGCCCATGCCTAAACACATGGTTCTCAAGCTGCCCTATGTCAACACTCCTTAGAAGCTCTTATTCAAAAGTGAAGATTCCCAGATTCCACCTCTAGAGGATCTGATTCACTAAGTCTGAAGTGATGCCCAGGAACCTGCATCCTCCAAAGACTTAACACTGGTGGTACTCAGCCCATATATATCTTTAAAATTTCAGTCGGGTGCAGTGGCTCATGCCTGTAATCCCAGCACTTTGGGAGGCCGAGGCGGGTGGATCATATGAGGTCGCGAGTTCGAGACCAGCCAGACCAACATGGTGAAAGCCTGGCTGTACTAAAAATACAAAAATTAGCTGGCCGTGGTAGTAGAAGCCTGTAATCCCAGCTACTCACGAGGCTGAGGCAGGAGGATCGCCTGAACCCAGGAGGCGGAGGTTGCAGTGAGCCGAGGTCGCACCACTGCACTCCAGCCTGGGCAACAGAGCAAGGCTCCGTCTCAAAAAAAAAAAAAAAAAAGTCCATAAAGTATTTATTAACACATCTTTTAAAAGGAAGTAAAGAAATAAAGAGAAAATAAAGTACTTATAAAACTTAAAGTACGCTAGTACGAAACTGTACAAACACTGTTAGTCTCAGGCGGACCTGCCCAAGGCTCAAAAGCCCAAATGAGAGGAAAGGGACCAAAAGCGTGAAGGTCCCCGCCTCTCCGCGCTCACCTTCCCATACATCCCTCTGCTCAACAGCTCTCCTCAGCCTCTCGCTGAAACTGACAGCTCGGAAGGGGGTTTGACTGCGCAGCCGGCGCACTAGAGAAAGGGGCGGGCATGTGGCCCTAGAGGCGGGCCCAGGAAATTCAAAACAAGCCCGCAGAGGTGCAGGCCTGCCAGCCCCTGCCTTACCGGCTTGCTCCCCTTCGCGGCGGCCGTGCCTCCCCGGAACCCCACGGCTTACCTTTACCCGGAGCCGCAGGACCTGAGGCTGAACCTGAGACGGCCGTGACCCCCGAAGCGCCAGTGCCCGGAGGGTCGGGGGCCGCAGGGCCAGGGGCTGAGGCGGTCACCCGGCTGAGAAGCGCGCTGGCCACCTCAGCGCCGACGCTGTCCACCTCTCCCGGGGCTCCGGTGCCCGCCACTGCCTCCTCCAGCAGCCGGGCCTCACGGCGCAGCGCCTCTTCGGCCTCGCGGAGGTTGCTCTGCCGTAGGAACTGCAGCACGGCCAGTAGAGTCTGTCGGTCGTGCGGAGCGCCGGCCTCCGGAGCAGCCGCAGGCACCGGGGCCGCCCCCGCCGGGGCAGCGGTGGAGACAGCCACCGTGAGCTTGGGGGTCCCGCCATCCCCGCCAGTGGACGACGATGCCGCAACGTTCCCGCCGCCGCCGTTGGGGCCGTTGTTGGTAGTGCCGCCGCTACCCTCGCCTGCGCCGTCCCCCGCTTGCGGAGGTAGCAGCGTTGGCGGTCCCTCAGGCTCTAGCTTGACCGCCACCTCCGTCTGCTCCTCCGCCAGCGCCGCCATCTTGCGGCTGAGCCACCTTGCGCCGTCAAGCGTGATTGCATTTTCGCCACATGGAGGGCGGGGAGGAGCATTTCACGACAACTCTAGTAGGCCATTTACGGCAGTAGGAGGGGCGAAAAGGAAGGAGAAACGGAATAGGAAAGAGAGCAACTTTCAAAAACGGGCGAAAGAAAGGCAGGAAGTGGGCATAGGGAACACCTATTACATTTCTCTGATAATAATTGCCATTTATTGCAGAGCAGCTATATTTAGGCATTATGATAGACGTTTTACATTATGTGATCTTCAATTCAATAATCTTTTTCTCTTTTTTTTTGAGACAGAATTTCATTCTTGTCACCCAGGCTGTTCAAGCGATTCTCCTGCCTCAGCGTCCCCAGTAGCTAGGATTACAGGCATGCGCCACCACGCCCGGCTACAATTAAATAGTCTTATGAGGTAATATTATCCCCACCCCACAGATGGCTCTGCCGAAACCAAGAAAGGTTAAATAACTTACCAGAGTCACGCAAGAAGAAAGTCCAAATGTCAACATTCGAATCCACGTATTTAACTCAAAAGTATATACCATTTGCCAGAGGAAGGCTTCCAAGATACTGGTAATGTTTTACGTTTTGACCCGGATAGTGCTTTTTTTTTTTTTTGCAATTTTTACTTTTGTAAAAGTTAATCAAGGTGCATGCTTTATGAACTTTTAACCATATACATTACATTACATTTTATTTTTTAATTTACTTATTTATTTTTTGAGACGGAGTCTCGCTCTGTCGCCCAGGCTGGAGTACAGTGGCCCGATCTCAGCTCACTGCAACCTCCGCCTCCCGGGTTCAAGCGATTCTCCTACCTGTGCCTCCCGAGTAGCTGGGATTACAAGCCTGTGCCACCACGCCGGGCTAATTGTTGTATTTTCAGTAGAGACGGGGTTTCGTCATGTTGGCCAGGCTGGTCTCAAACTCCTGATCTCAGGTGATCCGCCCCTAGGCGTCCCAGAGTGCTGGGTTTACAGGCGTGAGCCACTGCACCTGGCCCATACACATTACATTGCAATAAAAAGTTTTTAAATGCAATAAAAAGTTTTACAGGCGCGGTGGCTCCCACCTGTAACCCCAGCACTTTGGGAGGCCGAGGAGGGCGGATCACGAGGTCAAGAATTAGAGACCAGCCTCACCAACCAACATGGCGAAACCCCGCCTCTACTAAAAATACAAAAAATTAGCTGGGCGTGGTGGTGCGCCCCTGTAATCCCAGGTACTCCGGAGGCTGAGGCAGAAGAATCGCCTGAACCCCGGAGACGGAGGTTGCAGTGAGCCGAGATCTAGCCACTGCGCTCCAGCCTGGGCGACAGAAGGAGACTCCATCTCAAAAAAAAAAAAAAAATCACAGAATTCTGTGGTTGTGAAATATGTACGTTATGTATTCATGCTATTATCCGTTATTACAAATAAACCATTTTAATTGTATATTTAAAACTCATGGCCGGACGCAGTGGCACATACCTGTAGTCCCAGCACTTTGGGAGGCCGAGGTGGGTGGATCACCCGAGGTCAGGAGTTCGAGACCAGCCTAGCTAACATGATGAAACGCCGTCTCTACTAAAAATATAAAAACTTAGCCAGGTGTGGTGGCGCGCGCATGTAATCCCAGCTATTCGGGAGGCTGAAGTAGAAGAATCACCTGAACCCAGGAGGTGGAGGTTGCAGTGAGCCGAGATCGCACCATTGCACTTCAGCCTGGACAAGAAGAACAAAACTCCATCTCAGGAATAAAAAAACAAAATCATATATGCCATTTTGCAATGTGCTTCATAGGTTATAAAACCCTCCTGCATATTTTATCTCATTGGAACCTTGTAACTCTGTGAAATAGGTACAGATGAGAAAAGTGAGCCTGAGGCATTGGGAAAATCTAGCACAGCCGTTCAAGTTATTGGTTTTGAGGTCTTACCAGTGTCCTTTGACCCTGCTTACTTTTTAAAAATATTGTATTTTATTTATTAGAGATCTGGAGCCTTATTATATTGCCTAGGCTGGCCTTGAACTCCTGGACTCAAGCAGTCTCCCACCTCAGCCTCCCAAGTAGCTGAGACTACAGGCACAGACCACCTGGCTTGACCTTGCTTACTGGCTGAATAACCTGGAGCAAGTTGCTTAATTTACTATGGCCCAGTTGCCCAATTTCTGTTTTTTTTTTTTTTTTTTTTTTTTTTTTGAAACGGAGTTTCACTCTTGTTGCCCAGGCTGGAGTGCAATGGCGTGATCTCGGCTCACTGCAACCCCCGCCTCCCAGGTTCTAGCGATTCTCCTGCCTCAGCCTCCCGAGTAGCTGGGATTACACCCATGTGCCACATCAGGCCCAGCTAATTTTGTATTTTTAGTAGAGACGGGGTTTCTCCATGTTGGTCAAGCTGGTCTCCAACTCCCGACTTCAGGTGATCTGCCTGCCTCAGCCTCCCAAAGTGCTGGGATTACAGGCCATCACACCTGGCCCCAGTTGCCCAATTTCTCACCAAAAAACTAACAGTACTTACATCACAGTGTTTTGAGAATTAAATGAGATAATGCATATGCAATAGCTAGTACATAATAAATAGCCATTGGTTATTTCTACTTCACTTTAAAAGGTGTTCTGGCTGGGCGTGGTGGCTCACGCCTGTAATCCCTGCACTTTGGGAGGCCGAGGCGGGCGGATCACGAGGTCAGGAGATCGAGACCATCCTGGCTAACACAGTGAAAGCCCAGTCTTCGTATGCTTTTTATTTTGATATCTATTTGTCACAATTCTCGACTCATTAGGATCTCACTTCAACTGCTCCTGTAGTCTTTTATTTGAATATTGGCCTACATAATTGGTTTGAGCAACTTCCTTCGTTAATTTCCTAGCAGAGACATTTTCGAAACTCCCTTATATGTACACGCGCTGAGTACAGTGGCGACGCTCATGGCTTCAGTGCACGCCCTACGCGTCCGGGCTAAGGTGATCTCAACCACCTCAGCCTCAGCCAAGTAGCTGAGACACAGGCATGGCTAGCGCATGCCTGCTAATTTTGTGTTTTTTGTACGAGACAGGGTTTTGACATGTTGCCAGCGTTGGGAA